CCCAGCTGCTCGCATCCGCACTTCCCCCCTCGAGGGCCCCTGGCGTCCCTGGGACCCTCTCTCTCCCCGCGCCCGGGAACTGAGGTGCATGGGTTTCCATCCAAGTAATGGAACTTGAGGGATTTAAGCGGAGAAGGGATTTTCAGATGTGCGTTATAGAAAGATCATCCTGGCCTCTGTAACGAACTGTGAGGGCCGAAAGTGGAGACAAGGACTTAGTGCCCAGGCTAATGCAATGCCCAGGTGAGAATTGAGGGACCTGAAATGACCCAGCTACCGAAAGGATGCGGGAGGTGTCTGCCACCGCGGGCTGACTGGAATAGAGGGACTGGATATGGGGGCGGTGAGGGAGGAAGGCAGGAGGTGATTCCCAAATTTGTCTTGGACAATGAAAGGGATGGCTGGGTGAGGGAGCCAACACAACTGTTTTGGATTTGCCTGAGTTTAAGGTTCTGCCAGACACCACTTAGTAGAGAACTAGTTGGAGCCGGAAACCGGAAATTGGGGACTCCTGCGACTGTAGTGCAATCCGAAGCGTGATAATGGATGTCAGCAAACCCGCCCTCCTCTGGAGTACTCAGACAAGTCAAGTCGAGGCTGAAACGCAGCCAAGCCCTTTCTAACTCTGCAGCTTGTAGCCTAGCACTACCCCGCGGCGCTTCTCTGCCTTTTGCCGTTGCACACCGGCCTGTACAACCTGTCTCCCGCGTTGCACCTGGATAGACTGGACCTGCATTTATTGTTTACGATAATTGACTAAAAATACACATTCGTTCCAATACTGTGACTCCTCTGCACCAGCCTTCGTCATTTATTTTCCCCTTGCATCACTGTTACATTTGCAGCTTGATTCCTTCAGTTATTACTAGTGTGGTAATTTAACTTTTAAATTTTATTCTCATTTTTTGGGACAAAAAAACTTAAAAAAAAGCTTTTCCAGCAGAGTAGTGGTGAATCACCCATTATTACTCAAATTATGATTGAGATAAGGCAGACCCAGCCCCAGCTGAGTGGACATATGACCTAGTTTTGACTAACTAGATGGAAATTGGTTTAGGGATGTCACATGACTTGAGCCAAACCAATCAGAGTTGGTACAGAGACTCTGAACTAAAGAAGTCTTTTTCAACTGTGTTGCTAAGCTAGAAGGCCTGCAGCTGCTGGCAATCATTTTTGCAACCATGTGGACAGAGCTGCTTTGGAAATGAAGCAGATAAAGAAGAAAGCAGACCTAAGAGAAGAATTATGTTTGACTGTTTAGGCAACTGGAAGCCCTGGAAATAAGCACTAAATCCAGTTCAGGTGTTTTGTCACTTACAACTAAGTGACCCAGGTTAAGCTCACAGATTTGTATTTATGTAATTTCTCCTTTTCTTTATTAAAAGTGGTATGTTGGGCCAGGGATTTAGCTCAGTGGTTCTGCTGCCTGCCTCACAAGCACAAGGACCAGAGTTTGATCCCTGGTTGGTACAAATAAAAAAGTGGAATGTTTGCATGGACCCTTCTTGCCCACATAATTCTGATTTGAATTATTGGTTCTCTGCCTTGCCGTGCTCTCCTTTCCCTTCAGTTTCCACATGGCTGTCAAAGCCATCTGTAATGAAAACATTTACTACCTAAAATCCTTCAGATTTCTCATCACCTGCCGAAAATAACCTTTAGGAATACTGGAATCTTCCTGCTCACACTATTTGGTCAAGTTGGCTATACAACTGTCCTTGCTTCTCCAGGGCCACCTCTGATAACTCAAAGAAAGTGTAGGCCCTGAAACGTCTACATCATTTGTATTTTACTTACCGCCCTTTAGAGTTATCTATGTATGTGCTGGTTCCCACTGGTGTGTAGCCCACATGAGGTCAGGACTTTGCTTTAGTTATCTACCTCAAGGGTGCAGCATGGCATGGGACAAAAAGTGCATGCATGATTACTGAACAGAATGGTGACTGGAGCGCCACAGGTTTGAACTCAGTTTGAATCTTTAAAAGAATATTCAGGTCAATCTCATCAATCTTGGCCTTCCAAATTAGTCCTAATATAACAGTTTAGGTATAATTTTTTATGGTAGAAGCAATAAAAGGTAAGTTTTACTTTGTTACAATTAAAATTCCCAGGACATAAGCTAATTAATTCACAGCCTACATTTATTTTTTGCTATGAATTGAGATTCTTTTATCTTCGCTTATATTGACCCATGACAACTCCTACTCTTTGTAAAGATATTTACATTTGAGATAACCACAGGAAACTCTTGTGGGTAGGGTCTCTTTGGATAAAGCTCCTTTTATCTTCATTAGGATGATTTTAATTGCAGTCACTTTTTTTATACAGCCTACTAGTGCTCAGGAACATCATAATTTTTTGCAAATGCTATCAAGGGAAGCTTACTACGTATTAGCTATTTGAACTTGTCTGAGCTTTTTTGAGAAACATTTTAAAACCAGCCACCTCTCAATTACACTTACCCAGACTGCTGTGAGATAATCTACTAAAGGGCTCACCTAAGACAGGCTGATTTCCCCTAAGTAGTGATATTCAAAGTGCTAGCTGGACATAAGGAAGCTGGCTAAGGAGCTACTCCTTTAGCAAGTCACTACAAAAACCTCAATGAAGCTAAGCAGTTACATTAGTTACTTGCACTTGGCTGGAAACTCATTTTTTCCCCACAGAACAGGGAAAAAAGTTGAGTGGCAGCCAGTTCAAGTTTCTGGACCACCTACCATCGTTCAAACAATTTTATTATAAGCTGCACAGCCCCAAGTAAAACCCAACCCCTCCTTTAGCAGGGACAGAGGTCTGTGCCTCTGCCAATAAGAGACATCCATGTAAATTTCTGACTGAGACAGGCAGAGGGCCAGGGCAGAGACACTTAGCTTTCAGGAGGCATCACAGGAGACACTGCAATTTAGTGATCAGTGATAAAGAAAATACTGTAACAACCACCCTCCCACCCCTGAATTTGCTGGAGAAGGCCCAGGGCCTCTTTGAACAGTGCTTCTAGCTGTCTCTGACCAAGAGATAATTTTTTGGGTTAATCTACTTTTTTAAAAAAATAAAGTCTGAAATACCTTTCAAAGACTTAGCCGTTAGATACCCTTAGAAACATCACTTTTGCAATGGCTTTTAAATCTGAAACAAAAATCCAAAACTGATTGGTAGCTTGTGTTCTATACAAATTGAATGTTAACCCATATGTGTCACATTCATTTTTTAACTCTACTACCAAAAAAAGGTCACAATTCTAGTACTGCACAGTTCCAGAATTCACTTTTAATTTGTCTAAAAGTAATTCTGCTAATGTTTCTCCAATAATAATGAAAAATGACTGTTGGGTCAGGAAAATTTTTAAGGATATGTACCTACAACTCAACTTCAAGGTAGAAAAATCAGTTAAGTCCCATTTTCTCTTTTCCCTATCCACAATCAAAAATGTGCAAAAGATCCAGAGCTAGGCGAGCATGAGGGGAAGGAAACTAGTTATTTCTGTCTAGGGTGGGTTTCGGTAACAGTAATTAAAAGCAGCTTGTTTCCTGGGTGTAGGGTTCTGGTATTTAGTTTTATTTAGGAACTTCTCTTTAAGGGCTATAGAAACATTTAAACTACTAAATTATACTCAATGATAATCTTCCAAATTTAAGCTGTACTCAGAATCCACAGAACCAGCAAAAATCTCGTTTTCATTTAAGTAAGTGTTGAGATGCATCCTTTAATCAGTCATTTGCTTTCAATATATTTTATTCTGATGAAGTTACAAAAGTAGATACAAAATATGTTTTTTAAAGAATAGTTAACTGACTTAGAAAAATAGATAAAGCCCCCTAAAGATGTAAAAATACAACACAAAATTTTATGTAAAGAACACTTAAAAATATTTTAGATGGTAATCAAGACTAACACAAACTACTTTCAATGGAGACCAAATATAGAATATTGCTATACATTAAATCCAGAGCACACTGGTGATCCTTTTGGATTTACGGAATACTTGTTTGTAGCAAGGAAAGAAAATCCAACTGAATTTCAATGTAGTTGTTTTAATAAAATTACTGTTACCACATGTAATATCATCACCCAACGCCTCTTATAGCCTGAAATATTAAAACTGAATGCAAAAGAAAGAACAAAGAACTATTTTCCCTCTTTACCAGAATTCTACAATAGTAGAAACCAAATCCACTCTGAGCTGATCTCAAGAGGAATCATGTGCCTGTTGAAGGTGCTCAGTGCTTGGGTATAGGCTGGCATTTTCTAGACCAGAGGCCCCCTGACAGCCTCGTACAATGGGGAAGGGGTGACCCAGCACCATGACTGGAGCTGCTTTCTAGGATTTGCACTCCTTGGGCCTGATTTGTTTATTCATATGAGGTAAAACATCATGCTCGAGGTATCCGGTTCCTCTTGCCTCTGTACTACTACAGAAACTGTCATGGTTATCAAAGTCACGGTGAAAACAGATTTGCATTTCTTGAGGAAGCAGTACATTAGCTAGGCTAAGTCTAAGATGAACGGAATACCTTGTTAGCTGGTGGCCCTGTAAAATCACTTTATTCATAAAATGAAGAAGGAAGGAAGGGTATATTTGGCTGTCAATATAAAAACAGTATGAAGAAGTTTGAATAGTCAAACAAATATCTGTACATCATGGTCCAAGATTTTAAAAGGCCTGAAAATTAAAGCACCACAGGATGACCTGCATAATTTGGCAAGCACTCTCCACCCCATGATTGTAATCACAAATGAGGAGCAGGCACTGGCCACTGAGAGAGGATGTCTGCTTAGCAGGGAAAGTAGAGGGAGTGGAGACCCTGGGCTGGGGAAGACAAATCAAACGTGAGAGGAGCCCAGGACACATTCACCGACTTCTTCAAGCACTTATATCAGAGGGTGGCCCTCAAGTCATGCCAGGAAGGTGCCATCCTCTTCCATTCTCTCCCCTTTCTCTAATTCCCCTCCTGCCTTAGAAGTAAACAGTGTAATGTTTAGGTGCACTGCTGGTCAAGCCAGACTGGCTTGGAAACTTGTTTTGTTGTTAAAAAAGAAAGGAAAAAGAAAACAAGAGAAGGAAAAAAGAAGTTTAAAACAAGGGCATTCTAGTTTCAAAATTGTAAATTTCTGATTTATGTCCCACATAATTAAGGACATTATGCTTAGCTGCCTTTCCTACTGTCCTAGTATGTGACCTTCTTTGGTTCATTTAGGGGCTCAGGTGTGAAGAGGGATTTCTATTATTGAAAATAAATGGAAATTGAGAACCCTTTTGAGAATATTTGAAATATTAGAAATGACAAATGTACAATGAGGCAGTTACACTGGAGATACATCTAGAAATTTGTTTTTTTTTTTTCCAAATAATCAACATTAACAGACAAAATGCCTGATACTTGGACCTCTGCATAAGTTTAAAACATGGGCTGCTGAATATTTCATAGAGGGCTTTTCTCTTTTTAATTGGTAAGTCATTATCCATTTCTTAATTCCTCAAACAATGATATATGGTTTCAGCCTAAATTAGAATCAAGTATTTCCTTTAAAATCTGTATATCTTTAAGAATGTATTGAAAATGAGTTACTAAAAATGGAGTTAAGCAATTCTTTTCTTTATAATCTAGTGGAATAAAGATAAGTAACACAAAACCTTATCAAATGTAACCTTTATCAAAGCCATGAGGAGGTTGGTGAGTGCTTTGTAAAACTCACAGCTATTATAATGATTGCTGATGAAGTAAAGCTCTGCCTGTTTGGCAAATTTTCCAGGGCATCTATTAGCCCTCAGTGCATTTAAACAGTCGAGGAATATTCAAATCCAAGGAGCCCAATAAAAAAGGCATTTTCCTCACTAAAAGGGAAGATGATTTTATCCTAATAAAAAGAGAAAATTTCAAGTTTTGATACAAAAGTAATTAAAACAGGATAAAATCTCTATGGAAGTTCAATCTATCCTTAACAGACTGAAAGAAGATTTTTCTCTATTTATTTTTACTTACTGCCTCTCATTTTGTCACACTATTCTTACAAACTGTCAAGTCATGATAAAAAGCCAGGCATGGTGGCACATACCTGTGATTCCAACTATATGGTGGCAGGAGGATCACAAGTTCAAGGCCAAACTAGGAAACCTAGAACTTGATTGAAAAGGGCTGGGGATTCAGCTCTGTGGCAGCACTTGCCTCACCCACACAGAGCCCTGGATTCCACCCCCAGTGCCCAAAAACAAAAAACACAGGTAATTTTTTAGGAAACAGGAGAAACAAGTACTCTGAATACTTTCTTTTACTCTTACCCAAACTTCTAGGCCTCTGAAAACAATTTGAATGAAACTAGTGGCTTTGAGACCTAAGTCTGTCATGTATTTTTAGTTTGCTTTTTCTGTCAAAAGCTACATATTAATTTTAAAATAAAAACCTAAATCACCATTCTCAGACACCTAAAAATATTATTTCTGATATATGAATACTACTAATAATTTATATAGATGTGAATACAATCCCAAATAGAGATTAAAAAATAAAATCATTTTAAAAATAACTTTGGTTACTTTCATTCTACATATGCCGTGATTTAAACTGCAATCATGAATTTTGAAAAATATATACTCTTATCTATAAAAACACAAGCATACAAACTTGAAACTAAAAGGTTATCCAAAGTGACACGGAAGTTCGAATTTTTTTGAAACAGCGTCTCACTATATAACCCAGGCTGGGCTCAAACTCATAGCAATCCTCCTGCCTCAGCTTCCCATGTGCTGGCATTATAGGCATGCACCACCACACCCAGCCTACAAATTCTAAATCTTAAGGAAACTTAAAAATATCTTTTCTATTAATAAAATAAAAGCAGAATAAAGCCAATTTGATTGCATTAGGAAATTTGTTCTGGAAACTTACTAATAAATCAATGATTAAAAACTCTTAGTATCTGTTATACTGTCACCTGAAACAGATGCAATAATTTTCGTGAGTAAAAAAATAAGTGAACTAATAAACTACAGGCTAGTCATCACGTTACACCCAAGTATGACTGACAGTAACAGGAGTGCTCACACAGCACCTCTGATTTGGCTGTGTCCTTACTATGGTTTCTGAAGCTACTGGACAACCTACCTTTGGAACAATTTAATCTGCAGACACAGACAAGGTGTGTCCTTTTTTCCTGTCTTCTTATAGTCTGTGTCACTAGTCTACAACAAATAGCAATGAGATAGCTCTAGCAGTAGATGAAGCAAGAGGATAAGTGTGTTCTAGAAGAAACATTTATCTGTCTTTCGATCCAAGCTTCTCAATTAATTCCTGAAGAGGTGCCAGCTCACGTCTATCAATCAGATTAAACTCCTAAAAACAGAAGAAAAATAAAATTTAAAACTGGGACCCAAATTAAAACTAAATGTTTTTGAAAGATACCCAACCCCAATTTTCTGAAACCCAAAAGAATGATCAAATGATCTCTATGAACTTTTTTTTTTGTACTGGGGCTCAAACTCGAGACCTTGTGCTTGTGAGGCAGGTACTGAGCTAAATCCTTGGCCTTCTATGAACATTTTAAAACAATTGTTTTTACTCCTTTTAAAAACACTGGTACTATCTTGTGATATATACCAGTTTTCCTCCTTGTTTCCTGACATACAGCTCCTAAAAGTTCTGAAATGTCTGGCGTGACAAGTGTGTCTTGTGTGCAAATGGGATGGCCGGGGGCAGAGGGCCCTTGGAGAACATCAGGATGGGACTGGTCAGTAGAAAGACCAAAGCACAACTAAAGTGTTGAGACTTTCAGCCCCCAATGGTGAAACTTTTAGAGACTGAGTGCCCAAATTGCAATCCAAAGCTCACTTATTTAACACAAAGTGCCAACACTGAAATTAAACTGGATGCTGACGTTTTAGTTAAAAAAAAAACAACAACTCATATATTAACACCCTTTGACTGGGCTCACAGGCCGACAGAGAGGGCTCTGCATGCCCACTGTGGCATGTGTGCCATAGTTTCACCACCACTGCTCTAGGGAGAAGAAAGGGCTGAAGGGTGAGTCAATCACCGATGGCCAATGATGCAATCAATCACGCACAAGCAACGAAGTCCTCATAAAAATCCCAGTGGACAGGGTTCAGAGTGTCTAGACAGCTGAACACAAGCAGGTTCCTGGAAGGTCTCCACGGTGCCTCTCGCACACCTTGCACCACATCTCTTCCATCTGGCTAGGCATCTACACCTTCTGTGATGTCCTTTAGAATAAGTCAGTAAGTGTGCTTCCTAAGTTCTATGAACCACTCTAGCAAATTAACTGAACCCTAGGAGGGTACCCTGGGAACCCTGATTCATAGCTGATCTCTCAGAAGTACAACAAATTACTGCTGGCTGGCATCTGAAGTGGGCACAGACTTGTGGGGCTGGCCTCTCAATTTGTGGGCTCTGATACTCAGCATCAGAACTGAACTGAATCAGAGAAAAGTTAGCGGGTATCTGCCGTAGAACAAATTGCCTGGTGTGCAGGGGGAAAACCCCATACATTTGTTCACAAAGTGTTCTGTGTTGTGAGAGTATAGTGGGAAAACTGAGTTCTCCTATATCCTCACAAAGGGGGACTTTTCCCTTTCTCTTGCACACATATACACACACACACACACACACACACACACACACACACAATCATGCAACAATCTTAGATGGGAGATCAGGAAGAGTGTAGTATGTTTTTTTCTCTGCATATACACAGCACTGTAATAAATGGTATTTACTAAAAAAAACCCACCAGGTTTTTCTATCATAAACGGTACCTAGGCAGACAAATTTATATATTGTGTATAGAATCATACAGGCTAAATGAGTCCTGACTCTCTGATATCTTTTTCAAACAATGTGAATTATTTTTGTAAGTGCCAATTCCTACTAAGTACCTGTAAGGCAACAGAGCACATATTAAAGTGACAAACCCTAACTGGAGACCTGGGGAAGCTAGAGGCTGAAGGCCCAAGGAGGGGTGATGCCTTTTTCTCCCAAACTGAGGATTGCTTCATACATGCTAGGCAAGTGCTCTACCACTACATTCCCAGCCTTTTATCTATTTTTTTAATATATTGAGATTGGCTGTAAAAAAAAAAGATAGACAGATATTGGGTGTAAGTTCCCCAGGCTGTCTCTCCTCAAACTTGCAAGCCTCCTGCGTCAACCTCCTATTATAGGTGCCACTAGAGAGCCTGGTGCTGCTACACAGATAAAAATAATGTGGAAGAGAAAATACTACTTATACTTAGCTTCTCTATACTGGTAAGACACACTGCTCTCTATTACAGTTACAAATTCAAATAAGTCTGAGCCACATGTCCCAGAAATTGACATGGCTCCCTTACCTGAACAAAGAAAATAAAGTGCTTAAAGGAGGTGTTGAGGTGGGCCTCCTCCTGCAGCTGCATCACAGAATCAAAGTGCTGGTGATAAATATGAGCATATACCCTGAAGAGACGTTTCAGAATTGTCTTTGCCACAGACATGAAGTTTTTGGGAAATGGGACACCTGTAATTAAACACACATACATCAGTTAGTCTTCTTTTAAAAAAACTAGTGTGATAGTTACACTTATTTTGGGGAAGCTATACATGTATATATCATGTCTTGATCATTTTCTATCCCCTTACTTCCTCTTTCTAGCTCCCCTCCATCCTTTTCCCCATCTCCAAAAAGTTTGCCTTTTTGTTTACCACCATCTCTCATTTATTTTACTTTTACTTATTTATATTTTATATTTCTAACATAAGAAACCATGCAGTATTTAACTTTCTGTGTCTTATTTCACTTAACATTATGGTCTCAACTTTCACTTATTTTCCAGAAAATGACATGACTTTTTCTTTATAACAGAATAATATTCCATGGTGTACCATATTTATCCATGCATATATTGATGGGCACCTAGGCTGTAACTACTGTGAATTGTACTGCTGTAGATGGGTGTTCACACATCACTATAGTAGGATGCTTTTAACTCTTTCAAGAATGTACCCAGGAGGGGCTGGGGATTTAGCTCAGTGGTTCGGTGGCCTGCCTTGCAAGTGCAAGGACCCGAGTACCGGAAAAAAAAAAAAAAAAAAAAAAAAAAAAAAGAATATACCCAGGAGAATCTCCATACTAATTTCCATAGTGGCCGTACTAGTCTTTTACTTAATATTCAACAGCAAATTTCAACACTGCCATGAACAACTGCAATACATAAACATACCCACAAACAACTACAAGCCTACTACTGGGTATTTAACAGGCAAAAGAAGAAAACCTCCAATCCTAAGTATTCCTCACAGGCCACACTTTTTTCTAATTGCCTTAGATCAGTAGGCACAAGCATCAGATTATACAAGATGCTGCTGAATCAAAGTTCAAATAAACATAATTTTAGTTGTTTAATATTATAGTTTCTTCCTAAGGTTAAATGCAGCAAGTATAAATTTTAGTATAAATAGAATACTACTTTTGTAATTTGTTAACTTTTAAAAAACTATATACACGTGCATGGATCCATACATGTTCAATTGGTACTTGAAACTCTCCTAAGCAAAGAAAATGACAGATCTACTTTAAGTCATCATCATGTAGCTACAAGTTAAAAGAAAGTATTTTATTTTCTCCTTTTTTCCAGGGATCAAACTCAGGACCTTGAGCTTGGCAGGCAGGGGCACCACTGAGCTAAATCCCTGGCCCTTTTATCTTCTGAATTACTCTGGAAAGTTAAGTTTCCATTTTCCTGCTGCCTAAAAACAAGGCATACTTCTTTAAAAGGGGGTGGGTATTTTTTAAAGAAAATAAACATCTCTTTATTTACTGGTAAACATCTCTTTGTTAAAGCATGGGGAGGGTTTACTGGCCATTTTGAAAGGTGAAGTCATCTCAAGGATGCAACTGGTTACACTCCTGAGAATTTCAGTTGAGAATATCTAAGTCTCTTACAAAATGGAGACAGGATAGAGACATTCCAACTGGCACTGGCTACAGTAAATAAGCACCAAGAAGGCATTTGCTTCCAAAACAACCTAGGTTAGTGGGCCTTAAAAGGCCTATTCCTTGATACAGCTCTTGAAGCACCTTCTTTTTTTCAATCTTTCAGAAAACAAAGGCTTACTAACATACTCTTTCCCTAAATTTTGTTTTCTTCTTCTCTTAGCCAGCCCATTACAGCTTGGAAAATTCAGTATACTTCACTGGATTTTGCATTCATGCCTCCAAGCTCTGGCTAACTTGAATTTTCAAATACTATACACGAGCATATGGACATCTTTGAGCAGGATTCTGTATTCACGTATTGAAGAAATGTTTTTAAAATCAAACCCTCTTCTCAGAATATACAAAGGGGTATTTTGTTAATAACATTAATAACTTGAAATATATTAGTAAAAAGTTAATAATAAAGTTATATCTAATAATACATAACCAGCAAAAGTTAACAGGTAGACAAGAGCCTAATGGGGATGGGGAATTTTAGAACGTAAGAATGAATTACTGAAGAACACAAAGCTGTGAAACAAAAAGGAAGTCAAAAAATTCTTTATCTCCCATAAGGAAGAGATCTTTAAGAATAATTTGTTTTAATCTGAATACTTTCCAAGCTATATTTAACACATATTCAAATAGAAGCAATACATAATAAACAATCTGTGAAAAAGGAAAAGGTTTAGTTACAGAATGGAAAAAATGACCAATATCAAACAGATCAAGCATAACACCTGATATACATTTTTGCTAACATCACTGTAACTCAGCACTGTTCTGGAAACACTGGTCACTGAGGTTAGACACATTTAAAACAAAAAGAATACATATCATAAAGAAAGAGGCCAAGTTAACATTACCTGCATATGATGAAGTTGCACATTTCAAAAACTTGAGAACCAAAAGTTAACAAGATAGAACCTGACAGTTATAAAAATCAACAGCTTTTCAATATATCAAATAATAACCAGTTAGAAACCAAGTATCAATAAAAAGAATAAAATGCCTAGGAGTAAGCCAGGCATGGTGGTGCATGCCTGTGACCCCAGCACTCAGAAGGCTAAGGCAGGAGTATCGCTACAAGTTTGAGCCAGCCCAGGCTACACAGTGAGTTCAAGGCCAGCTGGAAATACAGAGAGAGACCTTGTCTCAAAAAACCAAAATGAAAAATAAAATAAAGTAAAAAAAAAAACAACTAGAAATAAACTTAAGAAATTTTAAGGATTAACATAAAATAGAATTTTACAGAGGAAAGAAGACTTAGAAAATAAAAGAAGAATAAGTGAAAAATGATATTCTTGGCTAGAAGACTCAGTATTGTAAAGAAAACAAGAATATATGTGTGTATAAAAATTAGATGCAATCTAAAAACTTTGTTTTTTTAACCTTGAGAAAATGATTCTAAATTCTTGGGAGACAAATATCTCATAACAGCTGTGAATATTCTGAAAAAGAAGAGAAAGGAAAGAAGACTAGTTTTGTAAGATGGCAAAAGATATGTGAATGAAAACTGAAATTTCCACAGGAAGTGATAAAGAGATTACAAGACCCTCAAATATATGGTAATTTATTGTACACATAAGATAATCGAGAAAAAAAAAAGACACATGTATTCAATAAGTGAACTGGAAAAAACGACTAAATTTTCTGTTTGGAAAATAATGAAAGCAGCATTCAGAAGAAAAAAGTCTTGGGGCTGGGGATATAGCTCAGTGGCACTGCACCTGCCTTGTAAGTAAGTACAAGGTCCTGAGTTCAATTCCTGGTACAGGAAAAAAATAAAGGAAAAGGAAAAAAGAAAAACTCTGGGCTGGGAATATAGCTCAGTGGTGCTGCCGCCTGCCTGGCAAGCACAAGGTCCCAAGTTCAATCCCCGGTATCCAAAAAAAAAAAAACAAAACAAACAACAACAACAAAAAAAAACCCAAAAAAACTCCTGACACACTGAAGTGTTTCGTGGAAAAAAAAAATCACAAAAGTACTACATGAAAACATACATATTTTTATAATCCAGAAGCAGGGACAATTTTTCACATCAGTGTATTAAAACTCAAGTGATAAGGAAATGATTAAGACAAAATGAGAGATGTACAGAGCAAAATAGTCCATCAACAAATAAGACAAAAGATAGCATAGGGGGAAATACAAAGAGCTAATATCCCTAACAGAAATGGATAAAAGACACAAACAGAAAACATACAATGGTCAAGAAAACAAAATACAATCATCAATATTTTTAAAATGTACACTAAAGCAAAATGTATTCCTCCATTTTCAAAAGACAAAAAGAAAAAGTGAGTAATAATCAACATGGCAAAGAAACACAGACAGACACAAACATACTAGAGGGAGTATATACTTAATGGTACAAACTTTTTGGAGGAGAATGTAGCAGTCTACTAAAACAAAATTTTTTTTTTTTTTTTTTTTTTTTTTTGAGAGAAGGTCTGATTAAGTAGCCCAGGTTAGCCTTGAACTCAAACACTCCTGCTTCAGCCTCCTAAGTGTTAGGACCACAGGGGTGTACCACTACCTCTATCAAATTACTTTAAAGTAACAGAATATTAAAAAAGACTACATAATTTGGAAAGAAAAATAGTTCTACAATATTAACTCACCAATCTTAGAAGGAAAAAGAGTTTCATCATCAAGCTGATCCTGAACCCAGGTCATCAAATAGTCGATGTATTTTGGTGCAGAACATTTGATTGGCTTTTTAATATTAGTACCATCTGCCCAGTGATATTCATACCTGGAGAGAAGTATGTTTTACTGATAGATTTAAAAAACATTAACAAATGTGCAACTTCACTTTTTGTTAACAGAAACTATGTAACCTTAATAAATTACCTAAAGTTCTACTGAAGATTACTGTCAATTCCCTACAGAATTATTCTGAAATGTGCAGGTTGTAACTGGAGGAGGGAGACAATGTGACAGCTGGCAGTGCCAGAGGGCTGCTTTCTAAGAGAGCCCCGACAGACAAAGGCAAGGCAGAAAGGTGCCAAGGGCTGTGTGAAAGGTGATGGATCCTCCACACTCTGAGACCCTTGGCTACACATTATCATCAGTGGTGCCAAGATCATCAAATCCTAGAGACATCGTTAGAGAAATACTTTTTTTAGTCATGCATATTTTTTCCTTTCACCTTTGCTGACCTAGAACAAGTGACAAGATCTATGCAAAATTTCTTCAGGCATTTAAGCCATAGACATGTTTATATTTCTCATTTATTTTCTTTTATGTTTGATGAATGAAACATAAAATAACAACATTCCTTCTAAAATACTGCAACAAAATTAGGAACTGGGGAGCTGTGGATTTAGCTCAGTGGCACCGCGCCTGTCTTGCAAGTGCAAGATCCTGAGTTTGATCCCGAGTTTGATCCCAGGACCAAAACACACACACACACACACACACACACACACACGCACACAAACACACAAAAACAAAAACAAACAAAAAAACTCACTGGGGATCTTTTTTCCTTCATACCTATAGAAAAGTCAAAGTACAAGAGACAAACATTTTGATACTATTTATTGCTACATAAAATATGTAATTTATTATAAGAAAAAAGACTGTAAGGAAACACCGCAACATTAATCCCTTTACAATTATGACTTAACATTATAGGTGATAAAAATTTCCACACTCTTTTTAGTTTTTTTTGAAATTTATTATGGTCAAAATATTTTTTTAATGTAGCAACTTTAAGCCAGATAATTACTTCTAAATTGTGCTGCTTTCATTAAAGTTTAATAATCATGAGAAAAAAATAATCAAATATTTAAAGACCGACTAAAAACTTTTAAAAATTCATTTAGAAGTTAGCAAGAAACCATCAAATGAAAAAAACAAGTTTTGCAGGCCAGAGATTTAGTTCAGTGGTGCCGCTGCCTGCCTCACAAGCGCTAGGTCCCAATTTTGATCCCCAGTATCAAAAAAAAAAAAAAAAAAGTTTTGGGATACAAGATAAATTAATTCAAATTTCTATACTTTCATCGCTACAATAGAACACTCAAAAGTTACCATGATGCAGTATAAAAACTAAACACTACCCACATACCAAAGTATTTAGAAATAATAGCTATAGGTCAGTATTCATGAACAAAATAGAATCATCTTTATATAGGCAAACACATAATAAAAACAAAAAAACCTATTATTTAACACATCCATCAGTGAAAAAGCAAAAGTAATCCCAACACCGCTATTAACAGGCTGTTGTACCTGGGGCCTGCAGACATGACTGGACAGCTTGCTTCAGTGCAGAATTCTGTAATAGTTCCATACAACATGTTAATTTGATTGAAGAAATCCACAGCTGCAGAGGTATAGCAGAATTCTGTTAATGTCAGACCTCTCAGTTAAAGAAAAAAAATGGGCAATTTGTTTTTCTTTTTTGAGATGGAGTTTTGCTGTATTTGCCTAGGCTGGCCTCAGACTCCCAAGCAAAAGTGATCCTCCTTGCTGAGTAACTGAGACTACGGGTGCATACCTCATGGCCAATTAAACATTAACTTTTAATATACTAAACTTTTAACTAGCATATACGAATAGGAAAATAAAATACTGGAGACAAATTTAACTTAATAGTGATTATTTCATCATCATAATATCAATTTGATTACAGTAAGTCCCCAACTTACAAATGATCCCTATTCCTAAAGAACATTCCTAAGTTGTACTCCACAAAGCGAGTCTTACGAAGTACACCTGTGGAAATTTCGCAACTCGAATGTTCTTAAGTCAGGGACTTACTGTATATCCAAGGGAAGGAAAAATCCATAGCTTCTTAACAACCTCAATCAAACAATTATTTGTGAGAAAGAAAGAAAAAAGTACCTTGGAATATATTGTGAGGGGGAAGACATACCAGCTGTACCGACAGGCCTTTCAGACATAAAGTTCAGCATAAACATTTCAGGCACATTGAGGACATAAAAAGGACAAGATCAAGTCCTTTGCCCAGCTAAGAGAAGGGATACATTTTTAAAAATAAGTAATTCAAGATAGAGTATGAGAAGATAGGATCCATCCAGGTGCAGTGGTGCACACCTATGATCTCAACTACTTGGGAGGCTAAGGCAGGAGAATGGAAAGTTTGAGCCCAGTGTGTGCAACGTGGCACGACCCTGTGAGTATCAACTGACCAATCAGTCAATTAATACATATATAGCCTGGGATGTAGAGTGCTTGCTTAGGATGTGTAAGGTTAGCATCTAGCACTGCCCTTACACAAAAAACAAAAAGGACCCAAAGATCAACAGTAAGTGCTAAGGTTTAGGGAAAAGGCAAAGAGCTTAGGTAATCAGGTAGCAGTTCCTAGATGAGCTTCAGTTAGAACTGGAAGAATATGAAGAGGATGGGGTAACTAATAAACCTCAGTAAGTGAAGTGTAAGTATTCTGTGCAAAGAGAACCATGTAAAACTTGCAAAGTTTTTTTTAAATACTTTGGTATTCTAAGGAAATATCTGAAAATCAAGTAGGGTTTTTCCAAGCTTCTTAAAAAACAAACTTAAAAAAAATTCTCTTTGTCAAAAGGAATTTTACATAAAACTCCCTCACCCATAACCTTTCCTTTTAGTCATGTTTCCAAGAAAGTAACATTTAAGCCCTCAATAATCATGCAAAATAAGTATGCTCAAAATGTGGCACAGGGATTCCCTGTTGCAGAGTGGATCTGTAAAGCCAAAACCATCTTAATTGCTCTTTTTTTTTCTGTCAAGAAGGTACAATGAAGTTTTTCAGAGGTTCCATGACATCACAACAGAGTGAATGCAGAAGCAAATCTGAGAATCTAACTGTCCATTAATCCAGACAGTAAGTTTTACGAAAATATAAAAAATGCCATGACAGGCATGGTGGCAAATGCGTGTAATCCCAGCACTCGGGAGGCTGAGGCAGGAGGACTGCCACAAGTTCAAGCCCAGCCTGGGTTACACAGTGAGTTTAAGGCCAGCTTGAAACCCTGCCTCAAAAAACAGGCTGGGATGTAGCTCAATGGCGCTGCACCTGCCTGGCAAGTAGAACCCCTGGTACAAAAAAGAAAAAAAGCAATTATCTCTCCCCAAAATTGGCTTTGGAGAACACTTTTTAATATTTCTCACTGTGCTTCTTCATATACAATTCAGAATCAGATTTTAGATGACTACTGAGATTTTATTATCTTTTTATTGCTCTTATCAACATTAATAATCATTGTCTCCTTTTTTTAAATTTTTGGGACAGGGTCTCACTATGTAATAATTCACAATGGTCTTGAATAATCATTTCTCAATGCATTTTGATAAAAACCTTGTGTGAGCTACATGTGTAATTTTTCTTGAAACCACATTTAAAATTTTTTATTTTTCCTAACTTGTTAAAAAACCATATTCATATTACCGAGAGAAGAAAAGGTACAGAATTATGTAGTGTATTATCTTTTGTGTAAGAAAGGATAAAGAAACTTAGGAAATAGGAGACAAAAAAAGAAGTGGTTGCCTATGTGTTGGAGTAGCTGAAACTTAGGGTTTTTTTTCCTCAGTATTTTTCATATTGTTTTGATATTTGAGCCATGTAAAGTATTATTCAAGAGAAAACTCTTTTAAACCTTTATTTAAATGATTGTTGCTTATTCCAAAGGCCTTAGATTTTTCTTTGAGAAAAATCTGCTGTAAATCAAATCAAACTATTTGCTTTTTTGTTTGTTTTGAGACAAGGTCTCACTATGCAGTCCAGGCTAGCCTTGAACTCAATATGTAGCCCAGGCTACCCTGGATCTCATAGTGCTCCTCCTGTCTCAGCATCCTGAGTGCAGGGATTACAGGCCTGCACCACACCTGGCTCAAACCTTTCAGTCTCTTGTTCTCGTTTTTTTCTTAAAAATTGTTGAGAATTTCAGAGAACTTTTAACTATAATGTAGCTGGTGTTACTGTTATGAATTTTAAATATTTTAAGTTCATTTAACAAAAACAAATCCATTAAATGTTAATTATTGGAAGACACCCCTCAATTTCAACACTTACCATAAAGTATAGTAATGCAGCCAGTGTAGTATTGGTGAGAGAACAAATACTTCAATGGACAAGCATGGAGAATACAGAAATAAACCCACATAAATACAGTCAATTGGGCTTTGACAAAGGAGCAGAGCTAACACAATGGAGAAAAGACAGTTTTCAACAAATGGTGCTATAACTACTGGACATCCATATTCAGAAAGATGACTCCATGCTGGGCACAGTGGTGCATGCCTGTGATTCCAGCACTTGGGAGGCAGAGGCAGGCAGATGGTTCCAAGTTTGAGGCCACCCTGGGCTACACAGCAAACCCTGTCTCAAAAAAAAAAAAAAAAAAAAGAACCTAGACACAGCTCTTACATCCTTCACTAAAATCCACTAGAAAGCAATAATAGATCTAAATGTAAAATGCAAAAGTACACAACTTCTAGGAAACATGGGAGAAGCAGAGGAGAAAATCTAGGTGTGACCTTGGGCTTGACAATGACCTTTAAGATCAATGGCACAATTTATGCAAGAACCAATAAGCTAGCCTTCATTAAATTAAAATTTTCTGCTCTGTAGAAGACACTGTCAAGAGAGTAGAAAGACAAGCAGCAGGCTGGAAGAAAATGTCTGCAAGACATATGTGATAAAGGACCGTAATCTAAAATATATAAAGAACTTACAACATTCAACAAACAATAAGAAAACAAACAATTTAAAAAATGAGCCACAGACCTTAACAGACACCTCACCAAAGATACACAGGCAACATAAGTACATGAAAAGATGCCACATACCAACTGTCATCAGGAAAATGCAGATTAAAATAACAAGACACCAGGCTGGGCCTTGAAAGTGCAAGGTCCTGAGTTTGATTCCCAGTATCAAAAAAAAAAAAAAAAAAAAAAAAAAAAAAAGAAAAAAAGTGATATATCTAGAAAATGGAATATTCAGGGCTTAAAATTAATGAGTTACCAACCATGAAAGAAATTTAAATATTATTAAGCATAAGAAGTCAGTATACACTATCTGATTCCAACTATTACATCCTGGAAAAGGCAAAGCTGAGAGTAAAAATCAGTGGTTGCCAAAAGTTGCAGGTGGAGATGATAGGCAAAAGATAGAGGATTTTGAGTGATTTGGTGATAATATTATAGTGGTGAATGTTGCCATTATAAAGTCCAAACCCAGAGAATGTACAACAAGAAGAGCAAATTTTATTAAAATTATAAACTTCAGATAATTTAAAAAATACAACTACATACTATGGAAACATATACCACCAGCTATCAAGTAGCTAGTTGTACATAAAAACAAAATCAAACCTGAATGATAAACGCTAACGAGGTTACCACTAGCCACATATGGTTACTATACTTACATTAAAATTTAGTTCTATTAAATTAAAAACTCAGTTCCTCTGTCACATTAGCCACATGTCAGGGGATAAATAGCCACAACGAAGGTATAGAGCATTCTCATTTTAGCAGAAAGTTCTACAGGACCATGCTGCTCCACATCTAATGTTACAGGAGATGAAAGGAGAAACAGAACATGATAATGGATGCCTTGGGGATAGAATCAGCAGAATTCATACAGTGGAAAATAAATGACCTGGTTTCTTTAACAATAAAGATAGAGCAAGGGAAAAAGATGGCAATGAAAGGAAATCTGCAGATTAAGAGATTTGAGAAAACATACAGACAGGCCCTATAGGATCCTGATGTAAACCAAGCTTAAATTAAAAAAAGAAAAAGAAAAATATTAAATAGGACAATCAGGGAAATGTGAAGACTGAATAGATAATTTGACGTTAAAGGATGATTTTTTTCTGTATGTGTGTGGTATAGGTAACTGAACCCAGGATTTTGAGCATGCTACACCAGCATTCTACCACTGAACTACATACACCCCAATCCTTCTAAAATTTTATTCTGAAACAGGGTGTTAGGCTATCCGAGGCTCAGTTGAAGGCTGGCCTCAAAACTGATCCTCTTGCCTCAGCCACTCAAATAGCTGGAATTACATATGCAACTGTGCCTGGCTATCATTATCCTCGTCTCTAGAGATACTTATAGATGAAATAACATGTCTGGGGTTTGCATCAAAAATAGCCAGGGGGCATAAAGAAGCACAATTAGCCACAAATTGATACTTATTGAAGCTGGAAAATGGGTACCTGGGAATTCACTGTCCTAGTTTCTCTACTTCTTTATATGAAATTTTCCATTAAAAAGTTCCCAGATCTGAACCCATCTCAGGAATGAGAGGCTGTCATATTTAAATCTCTAGCCTCAGCACATCATTCTGTGTTAAGCTATGGTTCTCATGAACTCAGCTCCTAGATCCCTTTCAGAAATCCCTGGATTTCTTTCTAAGAACTCCTAACTCACAACAAACAATTGACTACCCAGTGGAGTGAGAGCAGTTTTGTGAACGTGTAGGTCCATGAGTGTTGCTGGGGGCAGGGACAAAACTGTGCAATGGAGTCCTACAAATGCATGGCCCCAGGGGAGAATGTTGGCATTTATCAATCCTTTGTTTGACTTTATTCGGCTCTCCATGGTATTTTTCTCAGGAATGAACCCAAAGCATTCCTCTCTTCTCAACCACACAAGCTACCAAGGATCCTGAAGGACACAGTTTTAGATGTATTTCTATTTATGTTTCTTTAATAGTTAATCTGCCATATTCCAACAGTTATATCTGTAAAAGAAAATCCATTAACAAGATTTTAGCCTAGTGTGGTGGCAAATGCCTATAATCCCAGTTTTTGGGCCATGAGGATTGCTGTGAGTTCCAGGCTGGCCTGGACTACACAGTGAGTTCAAGGCCAACCTGAACTATGTGGAAAGACCCTGTCAAGAAAACAAAAAACAAAACAACCCAAGATTTTTGCAGAATGTTTCTCTAAACCAATGAATGTGAATGTTGCTAAAAACTTACTGTTAACAGCAATCCATTCATTGAGGTCCTCTCCCTCTGGCAACATAACTGCTTGTCTCAGATTTCCACTTCCTAGAGTTGCTTCTGCATGTTTTAAGAGTTCATATTGATGAGACCCTTCAGGGATATTCTTCTTGGGCTTGAATGTTTTAGAAGAGCGGCTGCTGCTGTTGGGTTAAAAGAAAAATATATGATTTTTTTAGGACTAAAAGCAGAACGGCATAATTTTAGGTATATAAATTCCCCTGTGAAATGAAATAAAAATACTCCCTGAAAGATCCGAAGATAGAAAGCAGGAATGATAATCACAAAAAAGAATTTTAGGGCTGAGAGTGTATCTCAGTAGTACAGTGCTTGCCCACCATGCATGGGGGCAAGGGCATGGGGGTGTTTAATTTATTCCCACACATGAAAGCTGGGTAAGTACTTAATTTCACAAATAAGTAAAATGTAATATACTGCATGCAGAAGTATGGCATAAAGGGTGCTTTAACCAAAGGAAAAAAACCTCAGAGTACAGTTTTTTTCTGTCACTACCTTTGCAACTACCTGAAAAACCTTACTTTCTTTTAGCCTCGATAACCTACCAAAAAATGGTAAAGGAAGGCACTAACTCTAAGCTTCTCACTTTCAGGACCAGTTTTTATAACAAAATATTTGAGATCCTATGAAACAAAACCTGGTAAAAGAAACACTAGCTTTTTGAAATTTTAGTTGGGAAAATGAGATAGACACAAAAATTCCTGGAGAAAGGTTGAGCTTTAATTACTATCTCATAACATTCACAAGCTGATTCTAACATGACACAAAGCCTAGAAACCTTAAGAAAAAAATGAACTGACTTCAAATCATAACAATTAGAACTTCCATAACAGAGCAAACACATAAGTTACAAAGTAACAAAAAGCACATGCAACATGTTACAAAAGATTAGCTAGACAAAAAAGGACTTCTAGAACTTGTTAAAGGAACTCTTTTTAAAAATTGCTAAGAGGAAAAGGCAATTCAGAAGTACAATGATCAATGAACACATGAAATACTGTTCAATTAAAATAAGATTTCTTTTTCTCTGAGAGTAAACAGTTAGAATGAGGCTGGGAGTGGTGGCACACACCTGTAATCCTAGCACAATGGGAGCAAGAGGACTGTAAATTTGAGTTCCTCCTGGGTAATCCTGAAACTCAGGTGGGCAATATCTCAAAATAAAACATTTTTTTAAAAGCACTGGGGTACATGCCTCAGTGCAAAAGCCCTGGGTTCAATCCCTAGTACCAGGGAAAAAAATCAGAATGACTACTTTGTTTAAGTATAGACTAGGGAATAGAGAAATTAATACTTTAATCACTATCTGTGACCCTGTAAAGTGCACAACATTTTAGTAGTTCCTCAATCCATCCATTCTGTATGTAAGTATCTCTCCTAGATAGGAATAAGGATTTGTTTTCCAAGATTGTTCTTAATAGTGCAAACCTGGAAAGAATCCTAAAGTTTACCAGTATGGGAATTAAATAAAATACGGCAAATTTATATTCACAGTACTTTATAGTAGCAAAAAAAGGGCAGAATACCATATTCAAACAGAGATTCAAAACACAGCTAAACATATTACAGAACCAAATGTACAGCAGAATTTCTTTTTTTTATTTTTTGGTACCGGGGATTGAACTAGGGACCTTGAGTTTGTTAGGCAGGCTGCGGAACCACTGAGCTAAATCCCCAGCAGCAGAACCTCTTTTAATGCACAGAAGGTATAAGAACAATGCACCCAAAACTGGTAATGATATTACTTCTAGCACGTGGAAAGAAACAGACTTGTGGTTTTCCCCTTTGTTGAAGAATTTAATTTAATTAAAAAAATTTATCAGGACACATTTGTACCATATAATGATTACATTCACCATAAGGAGTTGGTGCATGTACACAACACATTTTAATTGAATTTTAAATGAGTATAAGAATTAAAGAATGTGAAAACACTAAAAATCAAATATGCAAAGTTTTTTTTTTTAACATGGTAAAGAACTACACAGAATAGGAACAAGTATTTAAATTAGAAGGAGCAGCCCTGTACACATAGAAATAAGCTGCAAACTACAGGAGAATAAGTATGTAAAACTAAAACTAATATGAATGATTTCTCAAGCTTCAATATGATCTTCATCTAAATTAAAACTTTGGTGATTTAAGTGACGTTATCAACCCACTGCAAATGATCCACAGCATGGAGGAAAATATCTGCAATCTTAGATGTGATAAAGGGACTTGTAGCCAATGAAGAACTCCTACAGCTCAAAAACAAAAAGGCATCCCAATTTAAAAAGTGGCAAAGGACAGGATCTGAAAAGACTTAAAGAAGATGTACAAATGCCAATAAGCACACATACAAAAAATGCTCAACATTATTCACCACAGGGGATTACAAATCAAAACCAAGAAATTCTACTTCACATTCAGTTGGCTACAATTAGCAAGCGCTAAGAGGGAGTGGGGAAATTGGAACCTTCACAGAGACGGTGGGGACACAAAATGGCACAGAGCTTTGAAAAAGTTTAGCATTTACTAAAAAGGTTAAAGAGAGGTCCAATATATATGAGCAATTCCACTCTACATATATACCCGAGATAGGAACACAACATCCCCACAAAAACCTGTACATAATAGCCCACAAGTGGAAAACTTCGCGTCCGTCAACACGACAAAGTTTCAAAGAAATAAAGCCAAACACTCAGGTCCAAAGCGCAACAAAGGTGTATCCACAGATAAACTGCTAACTAAAAATCAACTCAGACTTGGATGTTCTTTGTGTGTTTAATACTCCCGATAATATGGAAGTTAGTAATCAAATCTGTTGCTTGAAATGGGGTAGTCTTGAACTCTTGGTCCTCCTACCTCAGCCTCCCAAGCAGCTGGATTACAGTACAAGCATGGACTACGCCATCTGGCTTTAAATCATTCAGAACTTTTCGACATGGTGATCATATGTTGGAGACTATACCCTTAATAAAATAATCTAAAGGCAGGAAAATCAAATTCAGAAGATACTTTTAGTAATGCTATTTTATAACAGCAATATACTAGAAGGAATCCGTATTTCTCACATTAAAGAAGTGGGTAAACTCTGGTTATCAAACACTGTAATTCAGTAAAATGTAATTTTAAAATGTCAAGCAAGTGGATTTCATTCATAACTAAAATGGTTATTCAATCATATAACAGTTAAGTAATACACAAGGTAGAGAACAGTCGTTGAGAATAAGGCGCCAGAGCTTCTTAAACTTTAATGTGCTTATGCATAAGTCATCAGAGAATATAAAAATTTGTTCAAGCCTCGTTTGGAATCAACTATCACCTCTAAAGCGGGATTCTATAGAGGTCAATAATATTTACAGTCATAAAATCCGTAAGGGGGCAGAACCAGAGTTGGACAGAAGAGTTTGGTTGCGAGGCTCACCCCTAAATTCAAGATTCTCAAGGCGCTCGCTCCACTCTCCTAGGGTAGCATTTTTCGGCAAGGGTAAATTAACCCTGACAATAATGAAACTAAACAATAACGAAGAAGTAAAAAGATCTAAGGCAGCAGCATCGTTACCAGAGAGGATCGAAATTTGAGAGAAACTGGGAACCCGCAGGCGGGACAGGCGCTCCGCCCCAGATACTCCCTCCGCCCTCAGGGGCGCTGGGGCGGAAAAGTTTGGACGCTTGGTCGGCCTCCGGGCCTTTCAACTTCCCAACCAATCGCTCAGCTTCCTCCACCACGACCTTCACCTCCGTCGGCCCGCCCCACCCCCGGGCATCTCCCTGAACCCGAGTAGGCAAGGGGCGGACGCTGGC